TCGTTGGTTGGGAAGGGGCGGGTTTGCACGTGGTCGTTGCTGAAAGAGGTGCAGGGGGTCGTATGTTCTTTTGAGAGAAATTTGCCGCGGTGGAAAAAGTTTTTTCTTGCCTGTTGATTTTTCGTGATATTCCTGTCTTTGTGTACCGCATCCCCCCCCCCCAGCCGGTCTACAGCAAAATTTTTAGGTAGCAGTAGGGAAATCTTCGAGAAACTCCGGAAAAAAGGCTATGAAGCTGGGGGAAATCCAAGAAATTTTCCCGTTTCACACTGGCCATACCCCTCCCCTCCCGCTCGACGGACAATCCTTGGGTGGAAAAATGGAAAATATGGGAAATTGTAGGTAGGTGTTGGGGAAGGGGGGGGCTGTGTGCTGACACCACCGTTTCACACATCACCATACTATACTCTGACTCTAAATTGAGGTCCTTCGGCAGTATTACAGGTGAGTTCTCTTCGACGCAAAAAGTGACAATTGCATTTCAACTCCTACTTCCCTGATACTAAAAATCCCCCACGGAATAAAAGTTAATAAGGGAATGGCGAATCGATTAATCTGAGTTTTGAAAGGCTTTTTCAATTCATTTTTTCGACTTCTTTCTCTTTTCAGTCTACTAGGTTTCATGTAGCTGGTTTTTCTGTTTTCCTTACTCGTTTTTATCATTCTTGCGAATTTTCTATTCTAAATGATCCTCGATCATGACACTTTGGACAAAACAAGTCTATTATGACTACATGATAATCGACGTCACTACGATTTTCCGTTGTCCCTGTACATCTCACCTTCTGCACTAATCGCCGCTAACAGGCATTGCGACTTGATCCTGATCATCCAGTGAACGTGATGCATTCGTTAAAAGAACGGGAAGTCTTTTTTTCCCCATCACGCCGCTTTCTACCGGATGTTTTCACTCGTGTAGCCTGCATTCCAATGAAAATCGCAGAAATGACTCGTACAACACGGCGGTTTATGTGCGTATCACAAGTTTGTTTAGATGTGCTGAAGGTGAACAATAGCGGTGACGGATAAATAAGATCTCTCGGTCTCGCGGCCGAAAGTTGTTGGCCCCCATGAAGAGATTGAGAAAAGGCTGAAGACTGTGTGCATAAAGTGCACGGGGGCCAAAAAAAGACACTTTGTCCGAGTCACATATCAGTAAAGTTTACGCAGCCTTGAGAGAAGACATGGATACGAGTACCAGGCGAAAGATACCCAAGAAGTTCCTCGATAAGCAGAAGCAGGCTCTCGTCTATCACCTTCATGTACACCAAAATATGAAGCCATCCAATCGCAGCCTGACTGGAGAAGGCCTATGGAATTCACGTCACCTCCAAACAGCTGCGAAACTTCTTGTATGGAGTCACCCATGGACAGCTACCTGGAGACCGGCACTCTTGATCTGGAAGACCTCCAACATCGAGCAGCTCCGACAACGTCGCTATGGTCCAGGATATCATCTTCTCTGCAGTCGCCAAGGCGCGGGTTGATGGTATGGACCGGAAGTTCCTGGAATGGGAAGACCGATATTTTCTTCGTGGCCTGGACTGAAAGTGAACGCTGACTGTTACATCGACAGCTCGAGGAGAATATCCTGCCTTCATGTCGTCGCCTGTACCATCTTGGAAACTTCGTACTGCTACAGGATTGGGTGCCACCTCATAAATCGAAGGGCCTTGGAAAAACTTTCGCCTACCTGGAGTACCTGAAAAAGACGAATATATGAGCGTGTCACCTGACCTAAGCCCCCCTCGGTTATCGAAGACGCTTCGAGTATGTTGAATGGATGACCTTCGAGCTGTTACGTAGCTTCGAAGTGCAGGCCGTGAAACGATGTATCAGCAACTATAATGCTCAATCTTGGTAGAGCGGAGACGATCAGAGTGCTCTCTGTTGGCGTTGGCTGCGAGCGATGTCACTATCCGTATAAGACCCCAATAAAGTGGATTGTGCTGATTTATATTGATTCGCAGTAGGAAAAGTGGTCGAATTAGCGATTAATGGCGTGTTATACAGTTAAAAATGCTTGTATCAATAGTTGTTGGGGAAAAATGAGCTTGCCTTTGTAAGCATTCACATTTATATCCTGCTCCATACCTGCTTCATCTTGCCTAGGAGAGTTGAGGTTCTGCCAATCTCGTGCTGCTAAAATTTTGGGAAAACATTTGTAGTAGTGAAGCTATCCGACCCTTTTACTGAAATACACAAAAACATTTGTCTGGACAGTTTTTACCGTTCTCTGTTGACACTCTTTCAGCAGATTCTGATAATGGTCTAACTCTATCCGAAGTTAAAAACGTCCGAGACAAAATGCTGTGATTAGCCGAATTGTCCACTCTCGCCGCGGACTACCCGATCATAGTCATCCTCCCCCCGTATTCAGCAGACATCAAGTCATCATAGTAGGTCCCAAGAGGCCAACGCCAGAGTCGACAATAAACAGCTGTGAGATGGACATACAACGGTGCTGGTCCTTCTTAGCCAGTGCAACATGACACGCAGATACGAGCGTTGGCCAAAGCGGTTTCCGATTTCACAACCAACACCTTCAAAATGTCATAATTCTAAAGTGATTTAGATATTTTTTTTACTCCATTCAAACAGATTTGTAAGGCATGATAATTTGGTACTTGCTCAGATGTAGTGAGAAAATGACCAATAAACGTAAAAGGCAAGGTGGGCGATTAAGAATAGAAGTTGCAAATATGGCGTCGGAGGGTAAAAGCATGGTATGCGACGACACATACCTGTGCCAGCCGGGGTTCGGCAGTCAAAATTCTAAGAGAGGACAATATCGGAGGAGGGGAAAACTCACCCAGGCTCGCATGCGGTGCGGTCACCGCGGCGGCACGGCAAGGAGAAAGGCGATGGCCCGCGCCTGCGCCTCTGTGTTCCGATCAGCAGTCGCTTTTATGTGGAAGGAAAAAGAGAGAAAAGAGGATTGAACAAATAGTGGATGCGTATCAGTTTTGAGTTGGTAGTAGTGGTCAAAGAATACAGAAAAGTCGACTATCAGAGCGAATTAGTTCACTAAATGGCGAAATGGTTCCCTTCGATTACCGCCATACCGTTATAAGGTCACATCCAACTGTGGCAATTTGCCAAGCCACCTTAAACGTTAGCGTAAGAGCTGTTTCCGCGTTTTCACAATCGAAGGGAACTAATTCGCCACTTTTGCCATTTGCTGAAGTAACTGCCGTGAAAGTCGACCTTTCTGTATTCTCTCACCACTACCACTAACTCACTTGTAAGCATCCACTATCGCTCCGGAGGAGGGAAAAACTCACCCATGCGCGTATGCGGCGCGGTTTCTTCACGGCGCCGCGGCGGCAGGGCGGAGCGAAAGGCGATGGCCCGCGTCTCCGGCGCTGTGCTCCAATCCAGCAGCCCCTTTCATGTGGATGGAAGAGGAGACAATTAGTGAGAGAGGAAGGGAATTGAACAGATAGTGGGTGTATATGTGAGTTAGTGGTAGTGATAAGAGGTTAGAGAATGTCGACTATCACGAATTACTTCAGTGAATGGCAGAACTGGCGTCATAGTTCCCTTCGATTGTGAAAACGACGCAAGCAGCTTTTACACGAAAGTTCAAGCTGAGGTTTGGCAAATTGCCAACAGTTGGTTGTGACCTTATAACGCTATAACGTCACGTCCCATTCGAAGGAACCATTCTGCCAGTTCCGCTGACTGAAATAATACGCTCTGATTCTCGACTTTTCTGTATTCTCTGCTCACCACTACCACTAACTCAGCTATGAGGCGTTACTATTGTTCAGGTCCTCTTTCCTCCTCCTCCTTCCACATAATGGGGCATAAAAGGGGCTTCTGATTGAAGCACAGTGGCGGAGGCGCAAGCGATCACCCTTCGCCCGCCCGTCGCCGCGGTGTCGTGAAGAAACCGCGCCGCATACGCGCACGTTTGGAGTTTGTACTCGGGCCATAATAAGCTCAGTGACGCTCCTGTCCGCAGTGACTCGCCTCACAGACGCGCCTTCAAGGCGGCCTTTCAGGAAAAAACGAAGTTGGCGGACGAAAAAAAAGGGGCGCCATGAAATCGCAGCTTTGTGTTGGTCATCAAGGTCTTGTTGGGAATCAGCTTGTTGGCGAATGAATCGTAAGTGCTTTAGATGGAGTTAACTGGGCACGTACAAACTGGAGTCAAAATAGGTTCTATATAGGGCAGTTGGCGTGTTTTTTTCTGCTTCTTTCTTCACTATTGAGTTACACAGCACCTTGTTATCTATGTCTGCAAGCTCCTAATCCACTATCTGTGATAGCGAATGATCGCGGATTTTGCCCTTAAGTGTTGCGCGAAGCGGCAAGATGTGATGCGACCGTTCGTCTAAATGTGGGCGGGTGGTTGCGATGAGCGTCCTGATGGCATGTACAGCTTTGTTATTCGCTATAATGGTGCTCTTGATTGTGAACGTTGCCACGCATCGCCTGCCAAGAGGCACAATTTTCTTCCGTGCTGGACATATCGACCTTGTACGTCTTGTCGATTTATCGTGCCATTTTCGTTTAAAATAACTCTGTGCAATAGTTTCGTAGCTCGGTCGCTATCATGACTACGTATTTTATCCAATATATCTCCGAAGAATGGGAAAGACTCGTTTATCAAAAAAACGTACATTATTGCACAAAACGTAAACGAACACTATTGCACAAAAATAAATATCTGAATAAAACATGTACATCGCACCCATAATTCAGATCAACATGACTCACACAAAAACATTGTGTTTAGAGTCTAAACACTTTGGGCGGTGGGAAGAGTTTCCTCCATTGCTCTCCAATGTTATCAAGCACTTTTTGGAGACTGGGCGCCAACGTTGGAGGTGGTGGAAGTGGTGGAAGAGTGGGCAACCCTAGAGGGTTCGTTTTGTCACGGCTGTCTTCTTCGCTAGAGGATTTGCTCGTGGTCTTTCCTCCTTTGTCCTTCTTCTGCTGGCTCGTGGTCTTTCCTCCTTTGTCCTTCTTCTGCTGAGCCTCTTTTTCTTTTGCTAATCGTCTTCGTTCAGCGTGCGCGTTTGCGCAGGCCGGGCGGTTTTTTCTGTGCGCAACTTCAGGGCACGGTCATCGGGGAATTCTTTGGAGTACGTAGTTAAACCAACTTTTTCTTCACGAGATTTCGATGATTTATCTTCATCTGAATCATGCTCGTCGTCGTCCATTGACTTTTTCTCATTTGAGCTGTTCCCAGTTGACTGCGTTGTTGCACTGCTCGTCGTGCTCGTTTCATCATCCTTGCCGCCTTCGCTGGATCCACTTCCTTGTTTTGACTTGATGGGCTCAGTCTTTACCTTTTCCTCGTCTTCTTCGTTCGTACCTTCTTCGTCACTTTTCTCTCTAGCTGACTGTCCGCATCCTTCCGCTTCTCTCGCTCAAGAATGGCTCTCGGCTCATGATATCCTCTTTGTTATCGAACCTTTGAGCCTGCACCGTCCTCACCGGTATTTCAGCACTTGTCTTCGGTTGAGCCGTTGTTTCGTTGTTTTCTGTGCTAGTGCTAGGATTTTGTATCAGTGATTCATCGTTTTTATCTTCTTTTATGCTTTCAGAGCTAATTCCTTTGTCATTCTTTTTCTCCTGATTCCATTCGCTGTGGCCTTCCTTGGAACTCGTTGCTTGAACACTTGTGGGCGTTTCCTGGAAAAATAAAACTTAACCAAAAAAACTAATAACCAAATGTGCTATTAGATGTTCAGTAACCACCATGTGCACTCTAAGCGTATATGCTGCTCAGGGGAAGTCAAATTTTGTAACAAATTAACCAAGGCCCGCAGTCAGCAGGAGCCCTTTCGAGTTTTCAGGGAAAAGTTCTCAGTGGTCCAACTTGTACGCTCAGACAATCGACGCTGAATTCATCCATCCGCTCTCCCTGGTCGGGGTGACTATTATGGGCCCCTACTCTCCCATCATTTATGCCCGTTCCTCCTCTTTTGAACTTTCGAATGGAACTTTGCACATTCCGGCGCAACTACTAGCCCATCTCACTATATTAGCAGTGCGCCTTCTTGATACCGATTTGGCCGAGCGTCGATTTCGGTCAACGTCCAGCCTCCTTCAATTTCTCTATCAATTTTTTCTGTGATCATGTTACACGGGCAGGAAAGCAGGAATACTTATCTAGTATTTGTGAAACTTCAGGGCTCGAAGCAATACATGGAAGAAATACAGAGTTTCGACGGCCCTTCTCCCTCTGTTCCCCTGCCACTCCTACACATGACCCCATACTTTAGACTGAGATGATCTAGTGATTTCATAGGCACTGACCTCGGCCTCCGCTGTGGTCCGTAATGTTTCCTGGGTTGTTGTACGAGCTGACGGCTCAGTAGCAGTTGTGCCAAGTGGCCCTCTGTCTCCGGCCTGCTCCGAGTGGAGCGACGCCACTAATTTTCTTGAATAGGTCCTCACGCTCAGAGTCAGCTATTAACCTTGGTTCGGGTACCTGAAAATGAGTTAAGTAGTCTCGAACATTACTTGTTTGACCGTAGAAGAGAATTCTACAAACATTGGAGATATCAACGCCGTGTTTCTTCATGAGTTCCAGCTCCTTAAGCCTAGAAAATTCGCGCTCGTTTGCCGCCGCTATGGCAAGCTTCATCTTCTCCAATAGGGTTTTGCCAGGATTATCGTCGAGTAGTTTCCTGAAAAGATAACAAGCATTATTGGATGGAACTTTTTGAAAAATGTTCCCACCTCAAATCGTTGTGCTCTGCGCCCGACTAAGGAAAGTAGCGTGAGAGTGCCGCAAAGAATAGTCCTGTATGTGCTCTTCTTTGCCCGCGGGAATCTTCGGCTTCTGACCGAGGTCATCGACGTCTTCCGTGTCAACGACGTTCTTGACGACGGCTTCTGATGGCGTTTGAGTCGTCGACTTTTCACCGCTTCCTTCTTCTTCGCAGTCCTCATCTACCGGGGCTTGATGTCTGTCGTTGGCTAAAAGAGTCTTATTTAATCATCGAAGAGACATGCATGGAATGGGCATGTACAGCAACCGTGGTGTGTGAACAGGTGATGCCAGTACGACCTGCCACTCTCCGGAAAGAGAGTCTGCCATGTTGACCCGCCCCCCCTTCGCTCCAACATTGATCTACTATTCCCACGTTTCACAATTTTTCACGTCAAAGATTTTTCGTCAAGGCGGGGCGGGGGACGGAGGGGAGGGGGTAACAGTATACATAGACAGGAAAAAATCAGAGTACAACCGGAAATATCCAGCTCCTCTCTTCATAAAAACCCTTGCATATGGATGTTTAAGTTGTAATGTGACCCCCCCCCGTTCGAAACACTGATCCGCTAATTTCCTACATTTTCCAGTTTTTCACTCACAGATTTTTCGTCAAGCAGGGCGTGGGAGAAGGGACGGGGAGGATGGGGTGGGGGGGTAACAGTATACATGAAACAGGAAAAATCACTAAAAGTCACAACCGGGAGGGTCCAGCTTCTCTCTTCATAAAAACTCGGCATATTGATATGTTTAAATTGCAATTTGTTCTGCCAAAGAGGTTGGTAGGTGGAAGACTTTATTATAAATGGTCTGACGTTTCCAAGATCGTCGTCCTCAGAGGCCTAAACATAGCTCAAGGTTTGGATGTTGTGTCCACTAGACCGCAAAACGCCTCGCCTCCCTAGCGTATTTGGCGAAATCTTAGGAGAACTACCAAGAAAAAAACCCGAGTGTGAGAAACGAACTTACCAGTCCACCACCACATGAGCGGGAAAGATACCACTCCGGTGTCAAGTTGTGGCAGTAAGTAAAGTAAGTACACGATGGATTGCACTGTGGTAAGTCTTTCCACGCCTACACAACGTCTCTTGGCAGAGGGATACAAAATTTACAACTGTAAACATCCGGCGAGGAGATTGTGTGTTTTTCCTATACCGGCGGGCAATGTTTTCTCTCTTAAGGGGCCGTATACGACCCCTCTCCGCAGCGAGAGGACCAATACAATCCTCCTCTTAACCGATAGCGATCGGCGCTATGTGTTCCACACAGCGATGATGTACCCTGATGGAATGTGCTAATTCAAAACCCACCATGTTCTGGTTCAGTTTCTCATCAAAATCTTTCTCCATTTCTGCTTGGCCCGCTCCATCGTCCTTTACTTTCTGAAGCATAAGTGCCAGTTATGAGAACGTACTAGGGAAAACCTTGAGGAAGCTTAAGTCACCTCACTGCTATAAAGATTACCTCGGATATCCTAACAAGGGAATCGATTGGCTTTTCTTTCTTATTTATTTCGCTCTTCTGTGAATCCTCCTTGGTCTCCTCCTTCTTTCGTATTTCCTTCTCCTTCTGCATCGAGAGGGGGGGCAGGGAGTCTTTGTCGTTCTCCAGCTTGGTTTCTTTTCCCTTCTCAACTATTGAGATGTTTTCCAGGTTCGCAACCATTTTCTCCATTGTGTTGATGATCTTTTCCAGTTTCTCAGGATCAATTTCGGTTTGTCTGATCGGCTTGGATTCCTGGAAGAGCTTCAGTTTGAATTTGCTGAATCATACAATTAAGTTCGTACTGAGCTTACCTTTTCGACTTGACTCCTCTCTACAGTTGTACCACTTCCTTCGACCTCAGTGATCTCTCGAAGAGGGACTGCATGAGCTCGTACAGAAGCGTTATCGGCCTTCTCTACTGATGACCCCTCGGTCGTGCTTTCCGCTGCCGTCGACGACTGACTTACGCTTTCCAGGGTTGTTGGTACCTCAGTCGTGCTCTCCTCAGTGCCAGCTTGTTCCGAAGTTTTCTCTTCTGTCGTTGATGCTCCAGTGAAGCTTGCAGCTTTTGACGACGCTTCACTGGTACTCTCGTCAACTGCTGGCGACTCAGTTGTGCCCTCTTCGGTCGTCAGTTTTTTACTTTCTTCTGTCGAAGGCAGTGCATTAGATGCTGTCTCCGTCTCTTCTTGAACCGTCGTAAGTGCGATGAGTTCTTCAGCTTAGACTGCGTTGATCGGAGTTGTCGAAACGCTGAAGTCGATGCTTATGCATCTCAACTCCGATTGAACAGTTAATAGGTAGGTTCAAGTATCTCTATCAAAGCAGCATGACCTAAAACGTTCCTGGTTCAAAGTTATCCAGTGCTTGTTGTCTGTGGTCGAGCCTCTTGTAGGGAATCAGGTGATGTCACTTCATCAGCACCAGGAGCCGGTGCTCTGTCGGTAGTCCCAGGCTGAAGAGGGAAGCGTTAAAGCCTTTAATTTACCCATTCCAATTTTTCCCTTTGCTAGAGATCTATGATGAAGGAAAATTGAGCTCAAAACGGCTTTCTTGTTACTTACCTTGTTCAAGCTTCGTAGTGCTTCCAGCACTTCACGCTCTTCTTCGCTTGAGGTCTCGAATACCTTAAGTTTTCGCAACATCTTACGCTCCGTGGAAGTGGCGTTGTACTTGTTGATCTGGAAATTTGTTTATCATTAATGCCCAGCCTTCTATAATTATCATGTTTGACCGCGACAATAAGAGGGAGCTCCGGTGTAAGGGGTTTCATAAGAGATATGTGAGGCACGGTCCTCGATCAGGTATAGAGTGGAGAATTTGGCATCGGGTGGGTAGTGTGGTCGCGACGAACAACCTCCTACCGGTTTCGCACAAAAAATTGTAAGGGAGGGGCGCTATAACGCAATATAGGTTCAATAACGCCTCCTCTTGTCCAGTGACTCCGCCTGCGGCCCCGCCATCTTCCAGTGAAAAACGAAGCTGCAGGAACGAAAGCATGGAAATGGTTACTCGCACGGTGGTAGAGTTCTCATCGGGGAATCAGCTGTGCGAATGAGGGCGTAGTGCTGAGGATGGGTGGGCACGTACAAACTGGAATCAAAATAGTGTTCTATCTAGGGCAGTTGGCGTGTTTTTTTTTCACTATCGTGTTACTCAGAACCATGTCCTCCTATACATGTATGCAAACCTCTAGTCCCACTATCTGTGGTGGTGAATAATCGCGAGTTTTCCCTTCGAAGATAAATGAAACGCCCATTTCAGGTCGTTTTCCCTGCAGACGCAGAGGCTGGGTTCGGCAGGCACAGCCGGTTTTAAACCAATCTGTCGCTTGCCCGCTTCAACAGTTGCTGTGGGATGGTGCCAAAACCACCATCCCTTGCCTGCCCCTGACACGCCAGCATTTGCAGCAAAAACAACTCCATGTGCCGCGCCTTCTATCCTTTAAATCTTACCGCATCAATGTAATCTTCATCATCGTCGTCATCCGTAATATTGCTCTTCTTTGGCGGAATTGCAGTGGCGAAGCCGAAGAAGTCAAATAGTTGCTCCAGCTTTCCCCAGATGAAGTTTTTCGACAGTTGTTGCTAAGAAGATTTTGGTTTCACTTCATTCAGACACATTCGATGAGCTTGAACTCACCTCCTTATGGCGAGCACCACTTCGTTCGCAGATGAATCTAACAGGCATCTGATTGCGTGGAGTCGCCTCACAGTCTACATCGTCGAGAACGCGTGCGTGAACACGCAAGAGAGCACAGCGCTCAAGCCCGTCAGCTGAGTGATCGAACGGCTCGCCCGACATCCAAGGGCTGAAATCAGAAAAACATGTAAGTGTGAGGCTTCCTAGTTTACAAACTATTAAGACGATATGAATTTTCTGAAACTTCGAAAAAAAAACATTGCAAACTTCGAAAGAAAGCGTTCACCCAAAAGGCTCTTGAGTTTCGTCTTGGAATTAAAGGCAGCGCCCACGTTCATTTGATGTTCCCGCACCCTCTCTGGATATCATAGCCCTCCCTATGAGGATGCAGTATGTACTAGTTTTGCATCTCAAAAAGGCGAGAGGATAGCGCCGTTCGCTAGTGAAGAGTCGGCCCCAGCATAGGATTCTATATAGGGCACCTTCCACGATTTTTTTTTCTTCGCTACCGGATCACGTAGTTCAGCTCCATAACTCATTATTCTTGAAAGCGGGCTCAGCCTTTAAAGGCTAAGCCAAAGCAGTTATGGCAGCCAGTGGGCGGGGCGGCATCCTCTTCACAAGCGGGTGGCGCCTCGTATTTTGAGCTGCGAAATTAGTACATCCTCCACCCTTGTCGACAAAGCTACGATATCTAAGGAGGGCGTGAACATCAAAGTGAACGCGGGCGCTGCCTTTAATATGGGGTGTTCAAGAGCGTTTCGCAGCAAAACGAAAGTGTTTCATTCTTCACTGCGCCATGATTCACTCGAATTTTTTCTTCAAAATCAAGTGTGGCTCATGGGAGTTTACCAATGAATAGAACCAATAAATGGATGAAGTTAAGATTCAAAAAGTGGTGCGATTTTTTCCTGTTACTGCATAAATACGTGGACAAGCTCTCAGCTTAGCTTACTCCTAGCTCAAACTTCTTGGTAAATATTTTGGTACTTCTATCATTTCAAGAGTCTAAGGAGTGCAAGAAATCATTGGATACTCACATCACGGACTGGTTGTATTTCGAACCATCCAAGTACGTCCACTCACGCATTGGTCCATCAGGAATCATTAGACCGATCTATATTAAAAGTAGTAGAAATCAATTGGGAGAATCACAGCTCACAGTGGGCCCAGAGATAATTTCATACCTGAATGTAGCGCTCAGCGAATCGAGCATACGTCGGAGCGTAGTGATCGAGAAGCCAGTCCTTAAAGTGGGAAATTGCGGTGTTGGGCCGATGTCGAGGATTGATAAAGAGACTTACAATTTGCTCGCCATCTCTCAAAACAACGAGATCGGAGTTTTGAGAGAGACAAAACTCCCTGGCCGCAAGCCAGCTCTGATCCCCAGCATGGAATTGGTATAGGTAACCATTCGGACCTGCTACCCATTCCTTCGTATGGTGCACGTTAGAGTAATGGTTGCCGTTCTGGAATTTCCAAGTGTCAGGGTCCAACGGAG